TTAAGCATATGCGTTTCCACAATTTCCAAGAGAGTATTAATTTGAATCAGGGTCTTGATAAGGAAATATGAAGACTTAGCAAAGATTTTTACAAGGCACTGCTTAGTTTTTTCAGTCGTCTCTAGTTCTTGAGACAACCTCGAAGGATCTTTAAGAATTATAAATCTTAAGAATCCTGTCTGGTTTAATTCGGGATTCTATCCAGAATTGGTTCAAGTTCTTGTTCGAATTTTTTTTCATATCAATATTGCAGGATCCTATCAGGATTCACTTTCGATCCTATTCAAGAACCTGGCAAAAGTCATAAGGAGGATTTCATCAAGATTTTGCTAGATTTGAATCTAGACGTGTTCTGAATCCTGATACAAGGATCCTGTCAAGAGTTATGTTATATCAGAAAAGGATCTTACCAAGAATAAAACAAGATTAGTGAGAATTCTCAACTGAATAATCCTGCCAAGCTACGATCAGGATCCTCCGAGGAACTGTTCAAGAATAGATATTTCGAATCCTTAAAAAAGTACACGTATGAGCAGGATCTTGATAGGAAAATACGAGGATTCAGTTAAGATATTTCCAGGATTGTATTTAGAGACTATATTCAAAATTTAATTTTCAGGATGCTGTAAAGTACCTAGCAAGAACGAATGAAACCACTCCTTCACGTTATTAGCAAGGTTTAAATCAGAATCCGTTCAAGATTTTTAAATCTATAGATCACAACAGAATTTCAATACCAATGTTGAGCATAATCTTAAGAAAAAATAAATAGAAGGATTTTCCAGATGTTGTTGAGTTTTTATTTGGAATGCGACAAAATTCTGATAGCTGAATAATCTACTAGCATTTCTATTCTGATCCTGATTTAGTACTTTTAATAAAGAAATAGAACGAATCTTAAAACTGCCAAAAAAATATTTTCTAAACATCTTTAAAGTTTATATAAAAGTTGCTTTTAGATTTGAACTACAATATTGAGTTCTTTTTTCTCTTAGCAAGAAAATAAAATTTCAAATCATTAAATTAGGGTGTTAATTTGAATCTAGTCATCGTAAAAATTTTTCTTTAAATATATAATTTTAATAAGTAGCAAATCTTTTGATAAAAACTACTAGTCATTTTCCTTATGTTCGAAAAAGATTCCAAATATTTTTTTTGAAGCAAATTGAAATAAATAAATTCTAAATATATTTTTTTCAATCGAATCAAAATTTTAAAAAATCCAAATATATTTTTAAATCAAATTGAAATAAAAAAATTTGAAATGTATTTTTTAAATCGAATTTGAATTCTCAAAAACGATAAAATTTCATCGACTAAAATCAACATGTAAAATAAAATTCCGTTTTCAGAATTTCGTTGAAATAATTTCTATCTACATATAATTCAAATAAAAATTTAGATTAAAGTCAGAAATGAAAATACCGAACGTTGAAGCAATATAGAATGACATGGCACATCCAGCTGGGTAAGCTGATCGGTATGTAAACTGAAGGTCTAGAGATCAATACTCTACGTGTTCATTTCACTTATATTCTCTTTAGAAAATCCTGCAAAGATCCTGCCAAGAAGCTGACAACATCCTGAAGGAAACCTAGCTTAATCCTACAAAGAGCCTGTCAAGAAATTCGATAACATCTTCGAGGAAATCTTGTCAAATCCTGAAAGATGTGATCAGAATTCTTTTTTTGCAATTTTGACTTATTGAAATCCTGAAAGGATCCTACAATTTCGTGGCTACACATTTCTTTCAGGAATTATTAATTTCCTGGCTGAATCTTGATTTGAAAATCAATGTCAAACTTGCCAAGATCCTTAGAGATCTTGATTGGAATCCTGTCCGAATCATGCAATTCCCTGGCTACACACTTCTTTCAGGATTTGCCGTTTCCTCAGGAAAAAACGTTGAATCCTTGCAGGATTCTTTTCAGATCTGCAAAGGATCTGGCTCTGAAATATCAAAGATTTTCCCTAGGGTAAAGATATGATATATAAGGTCTCTAATAGAGCATCTTATTGCCGGAATTTCGGATCTTCATCAATAAGGCATTCACCAAACATCACTTTCGTCACTGGCGAAACTCCACTGTATCTACTTTTGCCAACACTTCTTCTGGCATTTCGCCAATTGACGAAAGTCCATTGTACTTTCGCCAATATATCCCTAAACTTTCGTTATTGGCAAACGCCCTTTCGGCGAAAGTCTTACTGGCGAAGTTCTGG